GCTGGGCTGATCAGAAGGCGGGGGGGGGGGAAACTGCTCCCTAATCAGAGGTGGGGCTGAGGCCTGGCCATGCCCTGCTCAGCTCAGCATTGTACAAGGGAAGGGGGGGCTGCTAGCCTAAGCCACTGCAGGCAGGTGCCTGCATTTCTAGGATGCCTAAATGGTTACAAACTGATTTAACCTAGCCAGGTTTGACTAACCTGCAAAGATTGAATCAGTTCAGGCTCAGACTTTTTGAATGTCTGTCCCTAGCCATAATGTCCCACTAATTACATGTGCACTCTGTTTGAAAAAATTAAAGCTATGTTTTAACTTCTTCTATAACAGAGAAAGAAAACTTTTTATTAAGTGACTGGGGGAAATGAGGCAGGGTGGAGGGGAGGGGAAGGTATGTGTGAGAAAGTCTAATCTAGGGAATTCCAAAAGCTTTATTGCCAAACTAGTGTCAAATTGTCTTTCCAGCCATCTTAACTCATTAGCAGAGGACTCCATGCCATATAAGCAAATTCTCTCATGATACAGATGTGGCATAGCAGCATCTATGCTGCTTCTCTCTTAGCTGCCAGTATAGTGATTGTGACAGGGTCTCCCTTTGCTTGGTGATTCCTTGTTGCTTGTGCCTCCCTCAAGAATGTAGGCTGGCAGCTAGGCGAAAGTTGAACAACCTTGAGGTGGTTCTACATTGCATCAAAGCAGATGCCATCTGTCCTGAGACAGCCTGTGGGAAAGAAGGACCACAGGCATGGCTTCAAGTTCTCTGTGGTCCCCACTGGTTCAGCACCAAGCTCAGTGCTGAATCATTTTTATTCTTATCAAGCATAAGGCAGTGTGTTAACTCTCAGTAGTCAGATTATAAACTTTTTGGGATAAGGACTTGTTTTGTTCTGGGTCTAAACAGTGGAAAAAACACTGACATCCTGGTTTATGACTAGGGTTTCTAGCACTTTCAATACACAAAAAAATGATAATAATAGTAATATCTCACATATACATGTGTATTGTTCATCTTTTATATAGATAGATAGATTCCATGTCTTTACCTAATAAAAGTGAAACTGTATTTATGTTAATAAGACTGAAAGAACTAAAACCGCCTAATCTACTTGTCACCATTTCTGCTTTGTTTTTTATCTTTGCAGTGTATAGACAATGGATGTAGACTGAGTACAGAGATGAGCCAGAGGCTATAGATTATTGATAAGCATGAGCTAGTTTCATAGGCTCGTAGTTTCCATAGTCAGTTTTTCCTTTCAGATTCTCATGGGCTAGCACAGCGCTACAATATGAGGGTTGCAACACTGCAAGACAACATTGATTTGTGGAATAAAATGTTTTCATTGGCAACACTTATATTGCTTTTAAGTGTGCCCTGATTGGCTTTCTTCAAGCTCTCATGGGTCAAGATTCTAAGAATATTTTCCAACTGGGACTGGGTAGCCTGCGTAGGCAGCCAAAGGCTTGTTGAATAGTAAAGGGGAAAAAAGCATATGCAACAATACTGCATGTCTAAAAAATTCCTACAGATAAAAAGACTGTAGGGTAAAAGGAGGGCTGTCACATTGCATAAGCTGTTAAAAACTCTATCCTTTTCCATCAACGAATTAGCTAAAGATCCCCTATTGCCCAGCAAATGCAACAACACCCCTGACATTCAAGGAGAGAGTAATTTAATTTGCTATGCTTTCTTAATCATGAACTTATGTGCAGCAAAATCTGATATTTTTCTCTAGACCACATTATGTAAAGCAATGATCTGGGGGACCTGGTTGATAACTAATATTTTTCCAATAAGTCTTGTAACAGCAAAGGAGTACCACTCTAACGTTCCTACTGTGCTATTTAGCCTCTGCTGTGGAAGTGACAGCGGGCGCATCTACACAAGATACTAGAAGCGCAGTAGACTAATTCTACTGCGTATTAGCGCATCTGAGCAAAAGTCTACTGTGCGTTAGTGTCCCATAACAGGCATGCACTTGGGCCACTGCACAGTAGCACTGATTACGGTGCATTAAGTTAGTACCTGTTATTACAAGCAGTAAGCTTACTGTGCTGTAATTACATTAATGCACGTGTAAACTTGCCCGGTACGTAACAGTGGAGGGCAGAAGGATAAAGCAGAAGTCGCACAGTTGAGATACCCGCAGCTGAGATACCTGTAAGATTCTGCCTTTAGCACTCAACAGATAAAAAAATGGGGTTCGTTATTTTTTGTAGCAGCTGGAACGTACCCGGGTTCCTCTGACAAGGTTGTTTGGAAATTGAAAATGGAGTCTATGTGGGTTGGATTGGTTTTAATATTTATTGTAGGATCTCGTTTGGCTACAGTGCATTTTTGTGTCTGGCTTTTTTGCACCTTCGATATGCCGAAATAAAGCATGACCTGTCCTAGGGTATGTATCTTCCCTATGATTCCTCATAATATATCAAGACATGAGCTGAATGTAAATTCCATAAAAGTATTTGGGGTAAGGGAATGCTCAAAAACATGGAAACATGAGAAGTGAGGCAGCCTTGGTGTCAGCCACATCCAAGGCTATTTACAGTTTTCTGGATAATCATCTGCTCCTTGTATTGCACCTAAAAAGTATAAGAAGCCAAGGCAAACCACAGGAATAATATACTCATTTTGGCCTGACCATCTTTATTCATGTGATCATGTGAACTACTATAGCAGTTCCCTATCTTGGGGTCGTTACCCCATTTGGGGTCACAATGCTAAAAAATGGGGTCGTTCACTGCCAGGGAGGGAGGTATGGGGGGCACATGCCCCCCAGATTTGTACATGGAGCAGGGGCAGATACGGGCTACCTGCTGTGGGCTCAGGGCTCTTAAATGGGGTCATGCTGAGGAAGAGTTTGGGAAGCTCTGCTCTACTGGCTGAAATCTCTGAATGTTGTTTATTAAATGCATTGCATTGCAATAGTCCAGCCTGGAGGTGGTACAACTTAATCTGTTCTTCTGCCATGGTGAAGTCACAATTCACTGTGAGGGGGGGCAAACTGGTGGACTGGGTGCCTATTCCCCGAATTACTATATCCCCACCTGCATGCCAATTTGGGAGTAAATGTTGCTGTTGTTTAAGAAAGAACTGGGGTTTGGGGTTTTTTTGTTTGGAGGGGTTGCTTTTTTTTTTTTAATCTGAAATATATCTTCTTGGCCTGAATCTAACCTTGTGAAATTTTATTTGAAAATTGTAGCTTTTTGAATACATATGATTTATTCTTCTTCTTGTTCCCACTAGCTGTTTGCTTTTGGAGCCTTCATTTTCCAAAAGCCTCTGTCCTTTGCTATCTTTTCTGAAACACCTCAGGTCTGGTTTTCTACCCCTGCATCATGTCTTCTTGGGTCTTTCCTCTTCCCCCTGCTTCTCTCTCTAACTTTCTTTCCCAAATACTCTTGCAGGCCTTCTAGCTACTGGAAAATATTAGGACATGTTTGGAAATTCCTAATTTGTTCCAGTTGCTTAATTTAAGCAGTACATTTTGAGAAGACAAAGAAAACAAAGGGAAATTCTTAGAAACATGCCTTAAAAATCCATTTTGTCTGCTGTAATAATTCACTAAAGAGAGACAGAGGGTAAAGCATTGCTAGGCAAATTGTGGCAAAGTTATTACGGTACATAATTAATAGGAGCAAGATAACTGTGCACAGGGAGTTTGGTGAATTTGTTAAGTTCAACAGCTCTCCTAGAGCTGAGTTCTGGAACTTGGGATGAGTTTCCAAACTGAATAAAGATATTTCCCTTTGGATTTTAAATACTATTGCAGACTAACTTAATTCAGGGATAAAGATCAGATGCCCCTGCTTTTTTTTTCTGTGACATCTTCTCATTCTTTCTTATCTAGCTACATAAAATGTCATTGGCAGAAGCAATTTAATCCATTTCAAATTCTTAAAACAAGTGTTAGTTAAAAAATACTGAATTAAAAAAATATTTTTATTGGCAAAGTATAGATACTCTGTTATTCAAAAAGCAAGTCAAATATCCCATCTATTATAACCCCTGGGAATCAGACAAAACAGTTATGGAAAACTCAAGCAGCACTCTTGCCTGTGGGTAGAAATTCAGTGGGCTTTTAGTTCCAGTACATGTGATTAAGCTCTAAATTGTTCTTGAACAAAATTAAAAGTACCTTGGCCAATAAATTAAGTATAATAAAATGATTACACTACCTACCTCCAGGTAATGGTAAGCATGCTTTGTATTAGGCTCATTCTTTTCCAGTTAGGATTAATCATTATAGCTATGTTGTAAAAGTTCACTATGGGGTTGTTCTAATAACTTTTGAGAAAATGTTTCGAAGTTTGTAATGTTGTGACTTCCCCAGGAATAGACACCATGCCTGTGGATAGATAAATCTAAATCTTTACTGTGTATGTTTCTTTCTTTTGGGGAGGGATCAAGAAGGAAGGGAGGGAAGAAATTACTCTCTTTGGTATTTTTTCTTATTTTAAACCATTCCATAAGGCGCTATTTTAATTATAATAAATTGAGAGAACCCTTTTTTTTTTCAAATCTGATTTATGAGTCACAAATAAAAGGCTCTATCCTTCCGTTATAGAAGATGCTAATAATTAGAGCTGTCCCCAACATAAAATCCAGCACTGCAGTTAGCTTCTCAAAATGCAGAGATTCAGATAATGGTTGCAGTTTTCAAAATTATTGTTCACAGTTAGCTGTCCAATTGTTACTGACTTTCTGTAGGAGCTGGGCACCTAACTCTCATGGGTGTCTTTGAAACTACCCCAGAAAAATACTTCCATATTAGATCACTAATATGAGGCTGGTAGTGGGGGAAGGAGCATCACATTCTAGTACATTGACTCCAGAAGTATTGTCCCTAGAAAACAATACTTATGGTGTAGTGTCATGGTGCTGGAAATAAACTCGGATTAGACCATAATAAACATATTATTATGATTACAATAGCAACCAAGAGCTCCAGTCAAGCCCCTGGACTTATTTGTGCTAGATACTGTACAAACACATGGCAAAAATATAGTAAAATAAGAGTTTGATTTTATTGTTCATATTTTGCAAAGGTAAAGTTTTACAGAGTAGCCCGGGAACCGACCTGTGGTTTATTCTTTCATATGACAAACGTTCACTATACGAAATTAAATATGTTTATATTGTCTAAAATAATATCTAGTAAAGTATCATCATGACTAGCTCAAATTTAAAAGTAGTCCAAAACACTAGTCTTTTAAATTCATGAGGAGAGAAAGCAGTTTGATTTACCATGCAGAGTATTCATGAGCACAGCTATTGCCTGTGACCTTGAGATTTTGCAGCCACATTCATGTTGCAGCATCAAAAGTGAAACATCATCCTAACACATTGCTCTGTGAAAAAAACAAACTTTAACTAGTGAGCTTACAGCACATTTCTTATTAAAAATGGAATTCAGGACCTAGATTGAGTGAAACAGCTAGATCGGGTGTGTTTTACAGACAAGGAAGAAAAAGATACAGTCAACAGGACTTCATCCTCCACAGGTCATTCTGAAAGCATAACAGAGCAAAAACTTCACAAGCCCACACAGAAGATATCATAGTTTTGCCATTGGCTTCATTGGGAACATGCTAAGACTCATGCACATGAATAAGGACCTTGTACCTTTTTTTCAGTGGTGGTGCAGCTGCAGTGGTATTAATAGTTAATGGATGCGGGGATTGTTACAGGGTCAGATGCTAGAGTGAGATGTGTTTAGGGCAAGAACTGCATCCAGCTGGACTTTCAGGATGCCTGGATGGGGTTCAGAGAAATGGAATAGAAGTCCGAAGCTGGACTTGGGCCAGGACATCAATGTTAAACACTTAAAAAATAAATAAAATTGCCGTGGACCTTTTACTAATCACAGGTGCTCAAGGACTTGTTTATATCCAACTAAAAAGCCAGTGTCTTTGGCCTGCAAGCACTATGCTGGGGCTTAAATTCACTACAGATTTAAGAGAAAAGAATGCCACCTATGGGCACACTGATTTCTTTTTCTGAAGTACCAGTTATTCCTTTGCTATCGGTGAACTACTGACCTAACTCAAGTAAGCCCAGGAGCAAGCATAAGGTGAGAATTCATCAAGGAGCAGTTTTTTTTCTTGTTATGCAGGAGGACAGAAAACAAGCACCCACCCTATAAAAAATACAGAAGTGAAAATTTGTAGGTGCAGTCTTCAAGGTTTCCTTTTGATCATTTTTACCCCAGCCAGGGGATGGAACTGGTGGGAAGAGAAGGAGGCACAGAAGAGGTGAATTAGTTCAGAGTCTAGTTATAAGAGCAATGCAAATGCAGGGAAAATTACAACTAAGGCAGAAACTGTGAATGCTCTTAGCCTCTAGTGAGTGACCTTCCTTGACACACTTTTCAAACAAGTCTTTAACCTTATCAATAGGCAATAAGGAGGAGTCAGAGAGATACATGATTATAATGAAACAAAGCTGTAGTTAGAAACAATATAATAGGCTAGCATCATAAACAAGCCTTGTGTTGCTCACGGGCAAAGCACTTCCAGACTGAGGCTTGTTAGAGAGCTGCCCAGGTGTCAAATTGATCTGCTTTTCCTGCACAAGGACAGTTTCCAACCACCAAAATCAGCCATGCAAAGTTGGTATTGCCCTCACAGAAACTACTAGCAAGCACATTTTTTTCCTGGAAGCTACAGGTATCCTACTATGGACTTTAATAACAACTATGCACAAGACTTATTTATATCTGATTAAATCCCTTGGGCTGCAGGGAGGGACTACTTCTGTTGAAGGCCAGAGCAGTTTTGATTCAGGTCAGTGAAGGACTAGGGGCTATGTGGAAGATTAATTAAGGAGCAAATCCTGCTTTCCTTATTTACATGAGTAGTCCCAGTGGACTAGGCAAGCAGGGTCAAGCTATCTACACCAGCTGGCAGTAAGAATCTATGTTATAGTCTCTACACTTTTTTGAACACTTTTGTGCTACAAAAAAGCCAGTGTAAAAACCACTGCTGCCTGTCCTTTTGTGCCTGCTGTGCAGGAAACAGGAAACAAAAACCCAAACCCTATTATAACAGGAAATAATACTTTATTATTATAAAATCTGCATGTAAACAAGTAACAAAGTAATTGAACAGTTAATGGAAGTGCAAATTAACTTCATAGAATGATATTTATTCTGTATTTAACTATATATATATTTTGCTTTCTCCCATTCTAATGTGGTTCTACTGTCCCCCACATTTAATTTTAAAAAGATTTCTCATTGTTTATTTATACTAAAAAGAGTGTACGAGCCTGCGTACAAAAGGTTTTCAAGTTTTGCTCTGCAAAGGAGACAAGTTTATGGTGATATTTCATTTTCTATCATCATCCTTTCTAATCTTTGCATCTCTGGTATCCGTAGGACAAGACGACATAACAAATATACACAGTGAAGAGGCGGGCATAGGAAGCCACTTTTGTAAAATCAGTTCATTTACTTGCACACACGAAGCTTAAACCATTTATCACTGAAGCAAACATTGTAATGTAACTTCCAGGTCTTGCTTATGAACCTTAAGGCATTAAGGAGACTCTCAAATAGTCTTTTTGTTTTAATCACCATGTAGACTGTCCATATAGTTTTCATAACAGTCAAATGCTTGTTCACAACCCATGAGCAGCATCTGGCCTTGCTGAAAGCTTCTAAAGCACAGATAAGTCATGGCAAGACTTTGACTTTGCTTTGAAAGCCATCTTCTTATTGTTCTTTGCCACAATTTTCCCAAGGAACCGCTTTGCCTTTTTGCCTATGCTTTCTCTTCTCTTAGTGTTGGCCATTCTCCTGGCGTTGTCCTCTTTACTGTCTTTGCGAAGTCTGATTTGTCGAACTATGCCTTCAAACAGGTCCTTCACATTATGATGAAGAGCAGCCGATGTCTCGATGAATTTGCAATCAAATACCACAGCACAGGCCCGGCCCTCTGGAAAGACAGAAACGAGTGAGTGAATGACAGTAAAATGTACTATTTTTTCCTTCATTCACACTGGCATCAAAACTATAGTGAAAACTTCACACATACCCCTCTCTGCCTATAAATTGATTGTGTAAGGGAAAATGGCCTTTATGCCACTAATGTTAAGATGATGAGTATTTCATAGTTTCTTTTCTTGCCTTCAGGGTTATACCACTGCCATAGTTAGCTCCACTAAATGTGATGGGATATAAAGCAACTGACAGTCTTGTATAAAAGTGTATAAAAGTGCATCCCATATAGGGTGCGGAGAAATATGTACTTCTTTCAAATTAAAGCTGTGGAGCAGCAGTGCAAGGAGACAAGACATTTTGCAATACCTGAAGCTAGCAACAGTTTCCTAAAATAGTTCTATATTAGAGCAAATTACAGTTAGAAAAAGTCACTAGACCTGTCAGAGGTCAGAAGGCACAGGGCTATGGTTGTGATAAAAGGCTAAAAGTCACTAAATAAGTTTATAGGATTATAGGAATGTAGGGCTGGAAGGGACCTCACAAGGACATCTAGTCCAGTCCCTTGCTCAAAGCAGGATCATCCCTAACTAAATCAGGTCAGCCAAGTGTCTGTTCAACTTGCTCTTGAAAGTTTCCATGGCTGGAGATTCTACAGCTTCTCTAGACAGACTGTCCCCATGCTTCACTATCCACATTACATACATATTTCAGACTGTATCTACATATAAAAAGAAAAAAGTTGCCTCATGGCTGAAACATGGCTTTCCACTTCCAGTTGAGGATTAAAAAAAAATTATTGCGGAGTTGCAAGCTTTATAAATAAATAGGATCCTCATTCTGAGTCATGATTCCCTAGACACTGCCATATTCCCCACAAATAACAGCTTCATGCTATCTAGGTTGAACTCCAACCAGCCCCTCATGCAGGCATGTGTGACATTTCAGACAGGGAATGAGGACCAGACTGAAGAGCCTGGAAACTTATTATGGCACTAATGATGTCTCTCAACATTTTACCATGTAAATACAAAACTATTTTTTTTTTAAACAACCATTGGTTTGGTGCCACTGGCATGTATCCAACTGGTTACCAAAATTGAACTCTTGGAAAACTCACTAGTTGCAGCTTATTTGCAGAACAGGGACAGCATGGATTCAGGCCATGCAAGCCTGGCAGCTATCGCACCCCAAGTGCAATGGAATTATTTAGAGGAGAAAAGAATTGTGCCATTTCTGTGACCTTGCCCTCAGCAGAGATGGCGTGCTGCGGTGATGGATTTCTGATGCGGACGTCTGTCCATCAGGAGCAGGACTGAGATTATCAAGTTGTTTAATAAATACCACTGTACAGCCAAGAACTGGCTAAAATCACTTCTAGTAATTAGTGACAGAGTGTGACTCTGAATACTGCATCGAGTAGCATTTTGAGGCTGCTGCACTGAGCCATTTTCATACTTACTGCCACCTCAGGACGCTACTCAGTGCCTAGTCATGAAAATCAACCACCGCTACTTCCTCAACAAACTGCTTCTTCATGTTCTGAAGTCTTGAATAGGGAGCCCTGGTTATCAGATTTCTGCACTGTATAGATTACACACACCCCAAACGTACCCTGTTCTGCAACAGAACTGGAACAGTTCCACTAGGTCAACCTCGGTTACCAAATTAGACCTAGATTTACAATTGAGTAAGTGTCTCTTACCGTCTACTGAGACTTCCCTGGATCGGACCAGGTCACTTTTATTCCCCACGAGAATGATAGGAATGTCTTCTGTTTGTCTTGCTCTTCTTAGCTGAATTCTCAATTCGGAGGCCTTCTCAAAACTAACTTTGTCTGTCACAGAATACACAATAATATAGGCGTCCCCCATTTTCATACAGTGATTCTGAAGCCACTGACTGTCATCCTGAAGAAAGAGGGAAAGATAGAAAGAAACTATTTATTGCACTGAAAACATTAAACTAAACATTCCTGGACCCAAATAATGAATTAAATTATTTTAATAGCTCTAGACCTACTAAGCTAGCTTATTAGAGGCATTGTGGGAGGATTTTAAAATATACATATTACTAAGCTGTTGGGGTGAGGGGGATCCCAATTTTGAATATAACATTATAAAAAAAAGTTTGGCCACTTTTACAAGTTGTATCACAGGCAGGCATAGACCAGATTGTAAACCACTGACTTTGACAGTAGCCAGACAGCTAGGCACAGGAGTAGCCTAGCTTGACAACAGTTGCTTGGACACAGCAAGATGAGGCTTGTACCCTGGTGCTGTGCAAAGTCTAAAATAAGCTATCCAACTAGTAGAAATTGATCACAGGAGATGGAGTTTAATTACAGAACAAAGAGTTACAGTATTATTATTCTCCTAGGATATTGCCAAAACTTGGTGCAATCAAAAAGCTGCAGAAAGAATCTTACTCTAAATTTGATATGGATGTGAAAAATGACCCAGAAAAAATTATTTTAATTGTAAATACCTGCTCCCAGATGTCAAACACCACGAGAGAAGCTTCTTCTCCATCGACTATAATGGATCTGTCGTATGTATTTCCTAGAGGAAGATGTACTTGTTATTCTATTTGCTTATTGTGAAAATGCTACGAGATCAGATAGCAACACAGAGAGCACTTGATGTCATCTACTAATAATAAGGGAGTGGTGAGTCCCTAATCTAAAATGATACGTTAGTGCAGCTGCACTTTTTTGAGTTATTGCTTCCCTCACCCACTGGCAATCTCCTATTTAACTGCTGGAAGAGAGCAAACTGCTTGCGTGTAAAAGGGCCAGTTTCTCTTTCTTTGGACTCATTCAGCACCGTGTTTCTCAATGCATTTAGGCTGGAGGTGACCCTAAGCTAACAGCAGTCAGGGTCCCAGTCGCAGCGACCTGTCTCCCTCTGCCAGGCTGTTACAGCATCCCTGTAGTCTGGTCTGTCTTTGAGCCCCTCTCACTCACTGAGCAAGGGCGGCAGGGACCAGACCGGCTGTATTATTACTCCTGACACAAAGCAGGCACCGCACGGGGATGAAGATGGTACTGCACAGGGGTGAAGTGGGCACCGCATGGAGATGAAGTGGGCACGGCATGGGGAAGAAGACAGTACCGCATGGGGACAAAGCGGGCACGGCACGGGGACAAAGCGGGTACCGCACAGGGACGAAATGGGCACCCTAGGGGGACGAACCGGGCACTGCACGGGGATGAAAACAGTACTGCATGGGGACAAAGTGGGCACGGCACGGGGACGAAGCGGGCACCCCAGGGGGATGAAGCCGGCACCGCACAGGGACGAAGACAGTACTGCACAGGAATGAAGTGGGCACCCCAGGGGGACGAAGCAGGCATGGCACGGGGACGAAGCAGCCACCCCAAGGGGACGAGGC